CATGGCCAAGTTTAGAATGGTTTTTCCTATAAGAAGAATAAATGCCCGTGGACACTCATTTAACCTTTAAGTCCAAATATCTCCATACCATTTTTAACGTAAATCCACAAAAGAATAAAACACTGAGGAAAAAAATATGTATAGCATGTTACTGTGCTTACTGTGGTAGGCAATTTGATAACAATGTACAGTCAACTATAATATAACAGTAAATATTTGCATATCTAAACACAGAGAAGTTGTAAAAATACAGAATAAAAGGGTACACACAGTGAGTCTGTGATTCCCACTTGAGATTGAGTCACATGGTAGTGGAAGTCACAACATCCCATGACAAAGGGACAAGAAGCCTCCCTCACAGTGTGGCCTCACAGGGAGAGAGCCTCTGTGGAGGAAGGCAGGACCTGCGGTGTCCCAGAGCCCTGGCTGCTGCAGACAGCAGCTGCTCGCCACTCACACTTGGGTCAGGCTGCTCCGTAGTCTGCAGACGTAGTGACAGTCCTGCTGGACCTGCCCTCTGAGGAGATTCCAAAGGTATCCAGTTTTAAGTCAGAAAGCAAAGCAAGGCCAACAGCAGAGAGCAGCATCCCAGTTCCACAGGCCCCTAAATGGGACCTACTTCCCTTTCATGCTGGATGTTGTGGGGACAGAGAAAAGGATGGTTCCATCCATCCTGTTCTCTCCTTCTTACACCCAATGCATTTGGGCTTCTCTCTGCTCCATTACATCCACAGTCTCTCGAGGAGGCAAAGACTCCGCTCTGACCGTCAGCTCCAGGCCACTGCTCGGCCATCATGGCCTGGGAGGTATAGGGCACCTCCCCACGGAAGCAGAAGGTATAAGGCTGGGTGACACGTATACTGTCACTCTCCTCATAGCTGTGGGGAGAGATCTCACTCAATACAGAATTCAGAAAACAGAGGTTGTGGAAATGGAGCCAAGTTGGTCTCCCTCCCGGTGTTTCACGCTTGGCCCCTGCTATGATCAACTTTCCGTCTATGCCTCAAACGTTCCTCAAACTTTGTCACATTGGACATTGGACAAGACTGAGGATAGAGCAACTGATTCAGGGCTGGATGCTTCTCACTCTGAGAGGGAATTTCTAGGCCAGCAAGGTAAAGCTGGGTGCCACATAGATCAAGGGAACATGTCACAGAAATCCTCAATTCACACATTTTGCTCCTTCATCCTCACAGCCCCTCCTTGCTCACTCTGGAAGTGAAGTGCTGGGTATGGTTGGTGGTGGGCATGGGAAAAGCAGGGGACACTGCAGATGCAAATAGGTGCAGGAATGAGCCAGACACTGGGTCTACAGAAAGTCATCGTGCACACTCTCCTTTTCTCCCTCCCAGCCATGTCACCAAACCTGACTTGGCACCCCAGGGTCTGGCTGCAGCTTCTCTCTTGGGGGTACATTGAGGTCTCATCCTTGCCCTTCAGCTGACCACAGCCACAGGAAAGTGCTAATGTGATAAAACTGATGGAGACCTGGAGAGCAATCCTAAGCAAATACCCAGAGGTATTAATCTTTTTCTCTCAGTCCTTTCGGATGGATGCAGTAACATAAGGGAATACCAACTTTGCTTCCCTGGAGAGAGAAGTGTAATCAGAGTACCAAGAAATAGAGGTGGGGGTGCCAGCACTTGGATGAGACAAATAAGGAACATTCCACTCTACCCAACTGCGCCTCTCTCTGGAACGCAAAGTCTTTCATGAGTGAAAGCAGAAAGAAAAAGAAACTGGCTACAGAACCAAGAGACATAAGGTTCCCTCTAGTGACTCATGGCAAACCTTGCAAGTCCTGAAGACCCTTCCCAACACAGAGCACAGGTGAGCTGTGTGCTTGGCAGTGAGCACTGAGCACGTTCCCTCAGAATATAAAAGAAGATCTCAACAACTCTTACAATGATTTCAGAAGCCCTGGAGAAACGAGGTGGGAAAGGAAGTCGTATGCAAATTGCGTGTCAGCAATATCATGACGAGAAACACTTGGGCCGGGGATTTAGCTCAGTGGTTTCGCCCCGCACTGCGCAAGCGCAAGGACCCGAATTTGATGTCCGGTACCAAAAAAAAACAAACAAAAAAACACCTCTCCTCAACATCATGCAACCTTTCCTAATGAGCTTTGATCTGTCTCTGATTAATCACCTACGTGTGCCAGGCTGGACAATGGACTCTACTGAGACCCATCTCAGACAACTCCAGCTTGTTTCAGACTCCTGGACAGTGGCCAGCATCCAGCACGGGCCCCCTACATGTCCTCTTAGGACAGCACACCACCCCTCAAGGGCCTTGTGAACTCCCCTTGCCTCGGCTCTCCTCCTCACCTGTCCCAGTCTCCAGCAGGAGGAAGGTCCCCTCTAGGGACCCTCTTTGCCTCTCTTATTGGAAGAGACAATATTGTTCATAGTTTTGTCACTGTTGTATACGTGCTGTATCCCTTCAGGACTGTCTCCTCCTGGAGACAAGAGCAGTGAGGCATCATTCACTGCCTTAGGTACCATGGTTACCCACAATATGGCTCACAGAACAGAAACACAAGTAACATATGGGAGCTTATTAGAAATGAAAGGTCAGTCAGGCATGTTACCACATGCCTGTAATCCCAGCACTCTGGGAGGCTGAGGCAGGAGGACCACAAACAAGTTCAAGCCCAGCCTGGGTAACTTAGCAAAATCCTGTCTCGAAATAAAAAGGGCTGGGGATGTAGCTCAATGTAGTTCAATTCAATCCCTAGCACTCAGAGAGGAAAAAGAAGAAGAAAGAATAAATGGAGGATCTCCAGCCCCACCCCAAACTTACTTAATCAGGACCTGCAATTTAACAAGCTACCTGTTGAGGCCATCCATATGTACACTAAGTGTGAGAAGGACTGTTAAAGGCAGTAGATTGTCAACAGATATTTTCCACATAAGCCAAAGTCTGTACAAGTCTCCCCCTCGCCTTGCTCCTGTCGTGGGCACAGCAGATGAGTGGGGCAGCCGGCAGGAGCACTGACTCCTCACTGCCCTGGCTGACCACCCACGAATGGGCAGCGAGCCATCTCCTGCCCCATGCAGCCAGCGGTCCTTAAGTGCCGTATTCCAGGGGACAGGCACTTCACACACCTCTCAGACACTCAGGACATTCACCAAACCAAGTCTGCAGGCCTGGGGATTTTAAATACAGTGAGAGTGAATGTGACTCAGTGCACCCACCAGAATGTTTGTCCCACTCTGCAGACTGCCCATGGCTCAGGAGGGACACCACCCCCAGACTAGGTACTCCCCCATCCCTCTGCTGCCACAACACTCCAGCTGCTGTCACAAGGCCTGGCCCTCCATAAAGCCCTGAATAAGGTGTCCTTGAACTTCAGGGCTCTGGTCACCCAAAGGCTAGTGCAAACACCATGCTGGGCTCCCCCAAGGAACTCTGCTTCAGCAGCCAGTGGCTCACAGGACAGGGCACAACACAAAGGTGCCTGTGACCATGGGTCTTGCCTGAGCCATGCACCCTTTCCAACCTTGGTCCCTGGGTGAGAAGGAGATATTTCACGAAGCTCAAGAATCAGGTCCAGAAATTTTACCAGGTCTTGAGAAAAAAATAGGGCCCGATTCCCTCTCATGTCCCAAGTCTCATGGTATCTGGGCGAGCACTGTGTCACTAAAGGTGGAGGGACTCAGGCTTGGCCCACAGCAAAGAAACCAAACTCAAGGAGGAGTGAGTAGCTCAGGCAAGCCCTGGTCCAGACACTGCCTGTGTGTGCCATCCACAGTGGGCCTAGGGCCACACAGCCAACACTGGGGGCCTTCTCCACCTCCACACACCCTCCACCCAGCACCGGAATAAAATCTATTGGCCTGTAGAAGAAGGGGCAGGAGAATATAAAGAATCCCTAACTCCCTCTCCTTTCCCCCTCCTCATCCTTCTCCAAACCCAACCACGGTGGTATGCTCAGTGAGAAGACTGGGCAGCTTTGGCTCTGTGTATCCCTTTGAGTAGCACATTCAACTTCCCATGGAAGTCACTTCACCCTAGAGAGCCCCAAGTCCAACAGTCCCTGATGCCTTCAATGGGAAACACCAGAATACGGGCCAAGAAGGTTAAGTCTCTGAGGCTTAAGCCCAACCCAGCTTCCAGAAGAATCCTTGAATCTATACTCTATTTCCAGGCCAGTCCTGAGTGTCCTAAACTGGAGCATCGCCATGAGCATCTGTCAACCGAGGGGTCTCTGGGGGGCCTAGAAGTCATTCTAAGCCCTCTCTCTTCCCCGCACCCAGCAGAGATAGGTGTGAGATCTTGCACTCAGCCTCTGGTCCTTCAGACACTTCCCATCCCCACCTCACCTAAAGCTTCCTCCAACCCCATCTACCGGTATCCAGTCAGCCCCATCTGTTTCTGGCCCAACTCCTACTTTAGTGCCTCATTTTTATTGTTTTTTCTGCCCTCTGATCAACTCCACTATTTTCTGGTCTCATGTAACATTTCCTTTCTGTCTTGGATATTTCTAGCTGTGCATGTGGACGTGTAAGGCCACTGACCCCTTTGGTACTGCCTGACATCTCTTGAATTTATCCCATTTCTACTTCTGGTCCTGAAGGGTCTGAAGTCAAAAAGCTTCCTTAAAGCTTCTAGTGCAGGCAGTGCAAGAGCAGAGAGCAAGTCCACCTTTCTGTCCTATGGGTGACCACACTGCCTGGCCCATCACAGGTGTCCAACAAATATTTCTGATGACTGAGTGAATTATAGATATGCTATACATCAGCAGATGACAAGATGATGCTTTATCATGTAAGTAGGCTACCTATTTCTGGACATATCTATGTTCCAAAGGATTAATGCTCATAAAGTGCTTTGAAATCTGCAGATAACAATACTTTAAGGTGAGGTGGTCAGCTGTTCCCAAATAGGGACCTCAGAGAAGCAGATTGTACAGTCCACCAGGAATGGAGGCAGAGGTGAGGAAGGAGGGGAAGGAAAGGGACAAAGAGGAAACAATCAACAAAGAAATTAAAACTCACCTTTATCATAGTCATCATCCTCAATTGCTTTCTCCTGAAGTTTCTGAAGCTTTAACTTTAAGGATGTTACCTGTATTGATTTTGGGGGGGGGGGGACAAAAACCAAATTACAAAAGCATTCAAACTAGATTATTTTGTGAAAGCTAGGAACACCTAAAAACTATTTCAAAAGTGAACTTCTTAATTCTTTTTTTAAAACACACCCAAATGTACATTTTCCCAATGGCAGATGCATTTGTTTCTTCCAAAAAAAAGTTACATGAAGAGAAAGTGTAATTTGAATGTGAAATCCCCCAAAAGAGTTAGAATATTATTTTAAACAAAAACATCACACTATGCCCTGATCTGCATGCAGAGATGCATGGTAGGAATGAATACGGATTTGTTGGCCAAATGAGCTCGGTCTAGGCATCACAGAAAAAACATGGAGACAAACACAAGAGGAGCCAAGTGCATCCTGCAGCCATGCAGGCTGTATCCACAGGAAGGGCCTCCTGGAGACCCTGCCAGAAGCACTGAGGCTCAATATTTTATTAAGGAGAAGCAGTGGCTCTGTGACCCACACACAGGGTCAATGATCCTGTCACCTGTCTGATCATCACTAATATGTCCACTGGTGATTATTTTCTTTCCAACCAAAAGCCCAGAGATTCCCCGCAGGTCAACCTGACTATCCATGAATGGAGTGGGGCTTGCTGCCTAAAACCCCATTCCCCCATCCTTTGCCTGGCTCACACCTCCATGTCCTCAAACACCTGGCTCAGGTGTACCCACCCCCATTGTGTCTCATGACCAACATCTGTGTCTACTCACAGATCCACCCCAGCAATATCTCCATGTACCTCCATGCCAGGCACTGTCTGAGAGGCTGAGAACACAGGACCAAGTCCTTAGCCCTGCTGACTTACATTCCAGACAGAGGACAAGCAGAGGTCACCTTTACAGTGCCTCAGAAAGTGCTTAGTGCTGTGGAAAAAAGAAAAAAGGAAAAGCAGGTATGGGTGATGAAATAGGCTGGTGGAAGTGAAGGTCGCAATTTTAAACCATCTCCTTGAGAAGGTGACACAAGCAAAATGGTAGAGCAATCCATGAGGCTGTCTGGGAGAAAAACACTCCATCCCAGGGACAAGCCAACACAAATGCTCTCAGCAGCAGTGTCCCTGGTATTTGCAAAATGGACATGAGAAGGTCATGTGTCTGGAAAGAATTGACTCAGGGGAAATGCAGAAAATGAGGTCAGAGAGGTAATCAGGCATGTGTCATGAAGACGTAAAGACCATTTAAAAGTCCCAGATTTGGGGCTGGGGCTAAGTGGTGGAGCTCAGTGGTGGAACACCTGTGTAGCATGTGAGAGGCCCTGTGCTCCAGCTCTGCAAAAAAAAGGCTTTACTCTGGGGAGCATGAGGAGTCCCTAGAAAACGCGGATCAAAGAGCACACGGGTCCATGGATGTTTCACCAGTTTCCTTTTGGCTGCTGAGGATAAGAGCAGAAGAAGGGAGGCCAAGTAGGAGGCTCAAGAAAGAATCCAGGAAGGAGACAAGGGGAACTTGGACTACAGTGAGAATAACAGTAGCAAGGGGAATGGCAAGAGGGACTGGATTCCGAGTACGTGCATGGACAACTGTATGAAGATTGAGTCAACATTTGCTTGTAAATCACAAGATGATGCCAAGGTTTTTGGTCTGAGCCTCTAGAAGGACAGCGTTGCAAAGTAATTGTCTTAGTACTTATCCTACTGTGTCACAGCTGTCTTTTCATTTTGTCTTGTCTGTGCACTCCATTCCACCTTGAGCATATGCAGGGCTGGAGCAATTTTGTATCCATGTAGGAAATGCTAGTGGTCACCCTGCCCCAGCCTCCCTTACTCTGGGCTCATGCCCGTCCCTTCTTCCCCCATTTTGCTTAACAGGGTGTGAGTGAAAGAGATCGAAGTCACTTGCATGCTGATGTACCTGATGTTCTTGGAGGACCCCCTCAACCTCATCTTAGTCCAGCTCAGATGGGGCTGCCTGCGTTCCTGAGGGACTCAAGGAGCAGAGATCCAGAAACCCTGCGAAACATGAAGCAGCAGGAGCTGCTGTTCCGTTGTGTTTTCCCTCTGACACCATACTGCTGATTGTTCCCAGCCAACCCTACCCGGTACAGTTTTCAAAGTTCAGCACAGGCATGGTACTCATCATGCACACTTGGTTTGCAGATGAATAAATAATCATCATTGTAACCCCTTTGTCTTTGCATGGCTCATTATTACAACCATGAATTTTGCAGTAACTGAATCCTGGAAAGGAAGAGGAAAAGCAGAGTGAGTGCTACAACTGTGCGTGAAGCTGTGGTGCTACTTCTGCTGCCCCAAGACGGCAGTGTGAAACCCTCTCGGGGGCTGAGGCAGAGAAACACGGAAGAGACCACCACTCACCTCTAAGACCCTGCACTAACCACCCAGGGTACATGGATGTCCCCACTATTGGGAGCAGAGCCACATGGCCACATCTTACAATCACAGGACCCACGGGAGGAAGCAATTTCCTTCCTTTTTGCCAGCTTCCACAACCTCAGGTGGAGCCCACCTGGTGGAGCTCTCCTTTCCCTGCATGCCAGTTAGCATTTGCTTTTGTCACAATTTTTCCAGTCCCATGCAGCCCCTAGAAATGTCCTCACTGGCAATGTCCCCAGGCTACTGCCACTGAATAGCATATACTGCTGTTCAATATACTACCGGTGAACATCATAAAATATACACAGTTGATGCTCACGATTCACAGCAGTTATAACATTCCATGGCCCCTCTTGTTCTGCGGCTTCCATCCTCATGGGCTGAGCAGTTACTGGATCCTCGAGCTCTCTGGTATGCAGACAATCACTGTGGACTCTCCCACCTCTGATCTCTCAGATTCTCTTCTCCCACCCAGGATACTCAATTGAGAAATTGTCAGGTATCTGTGGCTCATCTTCACAACATTAATTACTTCACTGAAAAACATAATTGGAACACCTGCTGACGGCCAGGAACCACTAGGCACTGGACATCTGGACTGTCTAGGAGAAGCGCTTCTGGTTGTGGAGCTTGAAGCTGCATGGAGGCATGGACCACAGACAAACCATGATTGACAGTGCTGAGTGCTGTAGCAGGCAGGAATGAAGTGAAAGGAAGGGTTCATTTGGAAGGTAGGAAAGTTCTCCCAAGAAAGGGGCTGTGGACCTGCTGTAAACAAGGAACAAGGTGGAGGGGAGGAGGTCACTGTAGGAGGAGGGAAGTGGAGAGCAAAGGCAGGAGGCACTGCTTTCCCTGGCATCGGCTAAAGCAGCAAGAGGAGGGGTTGGGGCCACTAGGAGCCAACTGGGAAAGGTCTCAATTGTCAGGATAAGGAACCAGATACTGTCCTAGGGCAGCAAGGAGCCAAAGAAGACCACAAGCACAAGACAGCACACCCACCAGCACTGTAGAAGCCAACCCTACTGGCCCCACTGAAGACGAAGTGGAGGATAGGCATGGAGAAAAGGAACTGGATCAAGAATCCCATGCAAAAACTCAGTAAAAGCTAAGGAGGGTCTGAGCCAGGGCAGTGGCCATGGCCAAGGGTTACAGGTTGGTGGCAAGATGGAAGGGGATTGGAGATGGGCAGATTGGGGTGGGGATGTGGAGGAGGCTGTAGTCTCTGGCCAAGGAGCTGGATGGATTCGGCTCATTCAAATCTTTACAGGTGATGCCCTCAGAACAGGTGCGGTAGGAGGATATGTCCACCTCGGGGACTCCAACCACCTCAGAGTGAAGGTCACAACCTGCCTGATCGCATGCTTTCCCTGAGTCACAAGTCAGTGGGAAGCCAAGATCCCTGAGGGCCAGAACAGGACAAGTGGGATGTGAAAGGGGACACCAGGCTACAGGGACAGAACAGGGAGCAGATGAGATGTATCTGCAGGGAATAGCCAAAATTTCCAGATTCTCCTGCCAAATGCTATAGGAGTGGATACTCTACTCTGCTTCCTGCTCCTGCGTACAAGCACACTCAGGCACATGCACAAACACACGTGTGCACACACACCATTTAAGAGGTTCTGCAGCCCATTAGGTCAGTCTCAGAGTGTCCCTACAAGGTATCTCTGGGAGCTGCTTGGGGTAGAATAACTCTGCCCATTCTGGCTATAGCCATCTCTCAGAGGACAGCAGCAACATGAGGCCAGGCACGCATCTGTCCAGCCTGTCCCAACACCAAACCACCTACCTTCCCTTCAAGCCTCAGAACAGTCCTATGAGTTGGTATTGCCTCTCAGTAAGGAAAATGAGAGCCAGAGATCTTTAATGGCCAGAAATAAAGTCTCCTGGCTCTGTGGAGGGCAGGGGAAGGGAAGCAGGGGCAGGTGAAAATCAGGGTCCCTGTGCAGGAAGTCCTTGATTCTATATCCTGCATCCTTCTAAACTTCAACCAGCTCAGTCTCCTCTGTCCCTAGATTCTTGTTTCAAAGCCCAGCTAAGCTGAGCAAACCATATTTCACTTGGCACAGGGTCTGTGGAGGAGCCAGCAGCCCAGTGGAGAGCAAATCTCTGTACCTAAGCCACAGAGATGGAAAGGAGAGCTTCTGGGTAGAGGCTGAGAAAAAGAGACAGTGCAAAGACACCTCTGCAGCCAATCACCACCTGCTGCAGGCTCCAAGGGACATCAGCCAGCCACCATGCTCCCTCCCTACCCTAAGCCCAATGCCAACCTGAGCTCCCAACCATGACCAGCAAGGTGGAGACACTGACCTCCAGCTGCCTCGAGCTGCTCTGTAGACAATCATGCAGCACAGGCTCCCATCTCCTGAGCAGGTCATCCCAACCGTGGGCATTTCCTGAGCCACTGCCCTTGTCACCATGACAGCCAGTCAGCATGGGGCCCAGGGCAGAAGAGGAGCCAGTGTCCAGGTTCAGGGAAGAAGGCATGTCCCACTCCGGCCAGAAGCTGCTCCTTGCCTCCTGGGCCAAGTCTGCAGAGCCCTGGGTAGCTGTGGGGCTGAAGGACCCCGAGAGACATCCAGGGTCTTCGTGGGGCCTGTCTGAGCTGGAAGCCACAGGTCCCATATCCCGGGGGCTCTGATGAGGGGACTCAGCCTCTCTGGATGGCAGGCAGCCTTCTGCCTCTCCGCGTTCCCCGACAGAGGCAAGAGAGAGCTGAATGAAGCTAAAGCTGGAGGCAAAGGCTTCGTGGGGACCAGGAGGGGCTGGCGGGATGAAGGGGCCGCTCTGGAACCTGCAGCTGCTGCCACTCGCCTCTGCTGGTACCGGAGAGTCTGTGGCCTGGGTGCCTCTTGCTCCTTCACTGCAGGCTGCATCCTGGCTAGGGACCGGGGCCTCACCACTGTCAGACAGACACTCTTGTTGAAGCCCAGTGTCCTCAGAGCTGCAGAGCCTGGCTAGCCTGTGGGGAAGCTTGGTGCCATCTCTGAGCTGAATCCCAAAGTGCACTGGGGTCCCAGGTGCTCCACTCACAGAGGTCTGGGCCTGACTTAGGTGGCCCACAGAGTCCACAGCCAGGGCAGGTGAGCTCTTGGAAGAGGGCCCTCCACACTGGCCATTCAGCTCAAGGGCACACTGTCCAGCCCCAGATGCAGAGCGGTGGAACTCCTCACCACTCACCCCTCCCAGAACACAGAATGGTCTGCCTGCCACTGCAGGGAGAAACCCGAGCCCAGGCCCAGGAGTGCTTCTCATGTAGCCCGGCCTCCGTGCCAGCCGCCGCCTCCGAGGGCACACTGCCAGTGCTGAGCACTCCCAGCCACCTGGAAGAGAAGAGAAAACAGCATATCTCACTGGATCAGCTAGAATGGCCTTCAGAGAACACGCTGACTTTAGAGGTCATCTCTGGGTGCATCTGTCATGACACAGGCCAGCTCAGGGGCTGGGGGCCAAAGCCATGTGCAAATGCAGATGACCCTCAGGAAGGATTGATCTCAAACACAGCTATGTCAGCAGAGTACCTCAGGCCTTTTTGCAAGCAGCTAGCACTACCATAAGCCATGCAACACCCCAGCACAAACCCAGAGGTTCTAGCTGTGGTGACTCCTGGACCTCCAGCTTCCAGCGGGGGCGGGGCGGGGGGCACCTTCAGAGTCAGCTCTTCTGACCCAGAGAGGCCTGGGACACAATGACCTGAAATCACAATGCCAGGGTGCAATGCAGACCAAGGTCCAGGCGTGTGCTCCAGCTGCTCACTGAACAACATATAAACTGTTATAACCTGAGCTCTCCATGTCCCCACATGGCTGACTGGCTGCCATCAGCCACAGGTGGCTGACTGGGGTACATGCAGCCAACCATTTCATCTCACACAGGGGACTGCAGGAGGCCTGCATGTGGGTTCCAAACCTGAGTTCTCCACCTATAGTTACAACAGGAATGAGCACAATGACAAGCACCTCATAGCCTGGTTCAAACCCTAACGGTACCATTTGCTGGCTGTGTGACCTTCCACAAGTTATTCACCTCCCTGAGCCTCAGTTTCCTTATCAGTAAAATGTAAAGGCCATAAAAGTCCATAACAACAATAGAGTTATTATAAGTGTTAAACTGAGTTACTGAGACGACCTAGAACTGTACGTGGCACTTCTAAGTGTGTTAGTAAAAAACATTATTTTTATTTTGATAGTCTATTGCTATTCATGTGTTTTCATCCACATTCATTCCATTTGTTCCCTACTAAGACCATGTGAACAAACTAGGTAAGAATTGTCACACCCCCTTTACAGGCAAGGCCAATGAGATTCAGAGGAAGATGACTTCTGAGAAGCCAAAAGTGGCCAAAAGACCAGGCCACAGTCTTCCGCCTCTACCAGCCCCTAAGTGCTGTGGCCTCAGGGCTCTACCACGTCACACATTAGGCAAGACAGAGATACAAATATACGACAGGCAGCACTGGACACAACTATAGTTATGCTGAGGCCCATGGTGAGAGGTGGGACAAACCTTCACTCCAGGCTTGGTCATTCTGTCTCATCCCAGATCACACATGGTTCCAGATCACACATGGTCCCAGATCAAACATGGTCCTGTTACCAGGGTTTTGGGGTGCTATGGGGTCCTCTAGAGATTCCCTGAGCAAAGAATTGGACAAGACAAGCACAAAAGGTACCAAGGTTTTACATTTATTAAAGGTAAGAAGAGAGGTATGCTCTTCAAAGTGAGTGTGGGCCATTAAAGTAGGAAAAGAAGTACACTCTTCAGGATGACAGTGGGCCAATTAAAGAGCTTACAATGGCCACCCTCTTTTATATCCCCCACTCCTCAGGCTGTCCTCAGATCTAGGCCATCCTGTCAAAAAAACTACTTGATTTTGCACCAGAAGAACTGAAAATAGCACTTTCTGATTGATCCCAGGTGCAGGGCTTAGGTGTGTGTCCTACATCTCCGTGACTGATAGGTTATGGCCACTTGCCCAGCTGGCTGGCCATACCCTAATCTCCTGCCTCATCCCAGAGCCCACAAGGTCCCAGAGCACACATAGTCCTGGAAAATACATGGTCCCTGAACACACACAGTCCCAGAGCATACATGATCCCAGGGTCTCTGTCATGCTAAGCATATGACACTGGGCACTGATGATCCCACTGAGTCAGATTGTGGTTTCATCCCCCAAGGATGCAATGCTCTTTATAGCATTGGACTATCGGGGGAGCATTAGGCCAGGGCTGTGGAAGGCCAGGAGGGAGCAGAGCAAGATCCAAAGGCAGATACTCCACCTCTTGGAAAACCAGAAGAGCATTCATCAAAGAACAAGGAGTCCAAAATGAAGTTAGAGACAACACTGAATTCTGGCTTCAATGACCAAAGGAAAACAATTTCACAATTTTATACCTTAAAAATTGAGTCCAGTGAAATCTATATTGTCTTTTGGCTTAAAAAAAAGACTTTCAACTATTTTTTAATCCAATATCAGTCATATTAGAAGAACAATGTTAGGTGAAAAATAATCTGTCTGGAGTTCATTTCTTTTCAAGTCCTACACGCTCTTTTTTGGGAGCCACTCGCCAAGGATGCACCATGGATGCCCTGAAGGGAACCACAGCTCCTGCCAGGGCTCCAGGAAGTGGGGAGACCCACAGGTGGCCTGCCAAGTTGCTGAGGTCACCTGTGTAAGACACGGTGGTGGAAACATGTGATGCCCTGCTCCTTCATCTGCCTGCAGGCTTACACGTCCCACCCCTGCTGGTGGCCTTCCAGAGGTGGCAGAGAAGCAGAGCTGTCACACTGCAGCAATCTTGACCCTCAGGAGGGCAGGAGAGGGCAGAGGCAGGGCAAGGGAGCTCCGCTACCTATGGAGAGCACTTCTGGAATGAGCTGGTAGGAGAGGAGGAAACTTACACAGGGAAGCCCAAGATCTCTAGAAAGATCCCCAGTTTCCCATAACCACGGATCTGCTTTTTACAACTCTTTTCCCTTCTTTTATTTTTAGACAAAGATTTTGACATCCCTGTGACCAGAAATCCACCTGTACTTCTACCAGCCTGCCGGAAATCTCACCTCTTGGGCTAGATCAATATCCAGGCCAAGCCATCGGCCACAGCTAGATCAAGGCTATGATGCTCTCTGTCCACAAAGGCAATGCTTCCTCCCTGGCCTGAATGCAGTCAGCTCACAAGCTCGGCAGGTAGGAAAGAGGGTGAAGTGCGATGGGTTAGGCGAGAATCCAGGCAGGCTCTGAGGGTAGCTGGGGGTCAGCTGTGCCAGCCCCACGCTGTGAAACCTCGAGGTGGCCTTTGCTATTCACCTGGCTGGAGAACAGCTGGTCTTTCTTCAAGAGGAAGCCTGGTATTTTCTCAGAAGACAAGGTGATCCTTTTTGAGTAAATATGAAAGATATCTGTATAGCTGCACTCACTTCTCACCAAACACAGCACCATCCTTACCTCCTATCCCACGAGGTGGTTTTTGGGGCACCTCTGCTGGGGCATCATCTGGAGCACAGTCTCCTGCCTTGACGAGGGTGAGAGCTGTCGGATCCACCAATGGAGCTATCAGGTCATTCCACTAGGTAACTTCAAGGAAGCTCAGGCCCTCATGAAAGGGAAGACCCAGCCCTTTTATAGCACAGACAACTCCATAACCGATGAAACTGAAGAAAGCATCTGGGATATCATTCAGAGGCTGACACATGTTAAAACTGGAGGAAAGATCTTGCAGAAAGCAAGGTATGACACTCTAACCAAACTCTGTGCTGTGCAAGAGATTATTGCAGACTGCATGGAAAAGCAGCCTTCCCTGCCACTTTCTGAGGACACTCATCCTTATGTCACCAAAATCAACTCTGTGATGTGTGAGCTGAACAAGTCCAGAGTGTCGTTGGACTTCTGATGGGATTGGACAGTACTGAGACTTGCAGGCACTTATGCCGGGGCTGATTGCTGATGTAGATGCTCTACATGTGCAGGAGCATACAGAAATCAGAAACTATCGGAGGAAGGTAGTTGAAGACATCAACAAATTACTGAAATATTTGAATTTAGAAGAGGAAGCTGATACTACTCAGACATTTGAGCTGAGACAGAACCATGCCATTTTGAAAACAGAAAAGGTCCTCAAGAGGATGAGAGAAAAAATGAATTTCTTCAAGCTCAAAACCCTCCCAAATTGTATCTGAGCGCCAAGGCAGAACTGCAGGGTTTGACTGGACAGCTGGATGAGGCAGTCTTGAAAGAAAGCCCTGCATCTGGGAAAGCAGGAGAGCTGTGTGACTCAAGTGCAAACCCTGACCACTTACATTAATCTGAAGCAGGCCCTGGAGAAAAGGAAGAGTTTACTTGTGAAGAGCACCTGTTGCATAAAGCAGTCTGGGATGTTCTTGGAAACCTGTTGGAGATCCAGGGAGAAGATCTCTCGTTTGATGGAAAACGAAACATCCAGCTGGAGGAGCTGCCGACCAGGCAGTTGCTGGCCATGGATGCAGTAGACCCGTAGGGACAGAAGTGTAAGGCTGCCAGGAAACAGGCCGTGAAGCTGGCCCAGAAAATCCTCAGCTATCTCAACCTAAAATCGGATGACTAGGGTACTAATAATTACAGAGCTCCCACATTGATCTCGCTTGTTTTGCACTTTATATATATACTTCTACGTATTTATAGAGAGCTTTCATTTCATGGAGCCTAAATAAAATTTATGTGTGCATATTTCATTCTCAGTATTTATGATTTATATTTATGAATTATGTTGAAGATCTCTGCCTGATTTGGATGCTGCAAAAGAAATACTACTATAGCACATTAACCTTTCCATTTGGATCGTCCATATGAGGTGTGGTTTGTTTGGTTTGTTTTTTGTGTTTTTAATCAGAACATGAAATAGAGGCAGCATTCATAATTTTTAAATGGGTTGTATGAGCATTAACATGTAGAAACTTCAGGATCTAGAAATACATATAACCTTTCATAATACTAGGGAAATTATGAGAAGGGTGAAATTTTTTGGTAAAGTCCAAGTAGTAAGTTTTATTATGCTAAATACAGTAGAAGAATTTTTTCACTTATAAGGCCTGATCGGTTCCACCTAGTGTAAGGAGGAGGGATTGTTTGTATGTTTGTGTTTGTTTGTACTGTTTGTTCTTTCATAAACATTTTTGTTTGGCAAAAAAGCTTTCTCACCTTTCCAAACCAAAGCATGGTACCCAATAAACACCACCTCCCTATTTCCTTCCTCCCACAGCCTCTGATAACTACCAGTTACTTTTTGTCTCTATGGATATATTAAATAATTCAACAACCTTAATCTGTCCTAAAATTTTCAACAATTCT